TAAAACTTGTATAGCAATTATTAAATGATTCAATAAATTCACAATAATATAAAGTACGCGCGAGTTTAGTATTATTAGAGCTAATGTATCGTGTATTGCTATTGAAATCTTTTGAAAATTATGTATGGAAGCAGCATGTTCATTGTTTTCAACAAGAAGACAAGAATAGACATTTTGTATCTACGGAATTGTTACAAAAATCTTTCACGATCTATCGTGTAATGATTACAGAGAATAATCATGATTCACAAAGCTAGTGATACAAAACAAAAAGGACAAAAATGAGGAGGCTATGAAGTGATGTTTATTATAGAACATGCTAATGAAATCTTAGGCTGTTACCCACGTAACATATTAAGTTAATGCTATTGTACTTACAAGTCTTACGCATTGTTACTTCTCAATATTTGGTTACATATTTACAATGTATAGCACTAGAACACCGTAAGTATTCTATCACACACTGGACCCATGAAAATATGTAACTAAAGCGATACTGTAAAATGTATAAGAACATCATAGGAATCAAACTTGTGGAATTCTTTTTTGAAAAGTAAACGCTGATGCGGTCAATAATACTTCGCATCGGTACGAGTCAATCGTTAATAACTGGTCTTAGTTTCCGTTCGGTATTAGTGATTAGGTACACGTGACTAATATAATTAAAGCGTCCAGTGTTAATTGTGATTATATTGATCAACACTGTCGTACATAGTGCCATTTCTCCATTCAATTCTCTATCACATGAGCATGAGCAAATATAACTACGTTTTGATTTATTTTCTGCACTTTATGAATTATAATATATAATGTTTATACAGTGAAACATTATTTACGTTACGAGGATATATGATTGTTGAGTAACTGGAGTATGATTATTATACGTAGAAACGTACGTGCAAAGTGAAAGTTGCGAAATAATACTTCGAACGGATATATCATTTGGTCAATATTTAGAATCGCGACGAGTTCTGATCATTTTCAATTGAACCGTATAAATATTTATAAATCCTGATTACAAACGGCAGCCTTGTATCAAAATATGAACATGATACAAAAGTACAATTGTACAATTTATGTTTCCCTTCTGGTCTTTCGGTTGATTAAAAACCTGAACATTACGTTCGACTATTTAAAAAAGGCTTTGATTATTCACTACGTTGTATATAGTTGTGATGAATGCAAATCTGAATGTATATAAACTACGAGTTAAACGTTTTACATTCACACATATTAATTAAAAACCTGAGATTCGTATATTGAACATTCCTCTTTTAATTCTATATGCCGAATTATATGACGGTATTAAAAATAAAACATCTGTACAGTGACGTAACGTTAGGAAATATGGAACATACTATCCTGATAATCGAACAAATGTATAATTATCGGTGTTATTAATTGCCCCTAAGATGACGTTTAAAAAATAATAAAACGCTAAATGATCATTATATCAAATTTAACAAAAAAGACGATCGACACTGTTACTATGGCTAGCACCAATCAGCCATGTACGTAAAATCGGTAAATAGATCTTGTTCTAAATCAGTAAGTGGTCTAGGATCTTTAGGTGGAGTTAATTGGGGTTTCTCTGATGTGAACTCTTCATCAAAATTACTAACATCCTCCACAGAACGCTGAAATGCAATCAAAATTTATCAATAAACATACTAAACAGCACAAAGTAATTAATGAAAATGAATACTTACAATTACGGGAACAAATGGTGGCTTAACACGTCTCAAGAGTAAATCGTCCCAAGATATTTGTCTGAAGAACGCTTGCTTTTTAACATCTTCAGCATCTTTCTCGCTACTGCCCAATCGTCTATCAGGATTTTTCCTTAGTAACTGAAATCGGACGAGAAGAATATTAAATTTATCGTCTTAACAATGAGAAATTTATTTAAAAATTGACGCTCTTACCCTTCGCATTATTGCTACCGCTTCTAGTGAAAGCGATCGTGGATAATGAACTTCCTCATTCACGATAGAATCGAATACCTCCTCCTCATCGTCACCAGGGAATGGTGACTAAGATAGACAATGATAATTAGTATTCAGTGATAGCGATGCATAATGAATTCCAATTTTACTATGCTCACCTCGCCAACAAGCATTTCAAATATTAACACGCCGAGACCCCACCAGTCAACAGCTCGTGTATACGAGGTGTCAGTAAGAACTTCGGGGGCCAAGAATTCCGGAGTGCCACAGAATGTCCCTGTCCTCTCGCCGTATCCCATTCCCTCTTTGCATAAACCAAAATCCGCAATCTTTACGTACCCTTCCGTATCCAGTAATAAATTGTCTAATTTTAAATCTCTGCAAAATTTCATATAATAACATTTAGTAAAATTGATTGTACGTTCTGTTTCTTATTCTCATTTTTAAGTATTTACCTATATATAATTCGACTTTCGTGCAAATATTGCAAACCTAACACGACACACGCCGAGTAAAATACAGCCCGCGGCTCTCTGAACACTTCCGCGTGTATGTGCATCATGAGATCTCCTCCCGCTGCATATTCCATTACGAAACACACATGTGCCTGTAAGAAGTCAAATTTATTATGTAAGCCTTATTAAACAGTAATTATTAATAATGAAAGTGAAATTAATATATACCTCAGTTTGAAAGCAAGCGAACAAATTTACAAGGAAAGGATGACGAGTCGCATTCGCCACTTCGAATATTCTCTTTTCCGAGAGCAACGACTCTACTTCGTCTCTGGCTATTATGTCACCCTTCTTCAGTGCTTTAATCGCAAAGTATTCCCCTGTATTTCTGTACTGCGATAGGATTACTTTTCCAAAGTGGCCACGACCAAGAACCGAAAGTAGCCTAAAGTTCTCTATAGTCATTCCCGTAAGTTGCGAGTGTCTCCTTGACTCGTAAGCACTGTCTCTGTATTGAGAAGGCTTGCTCGGCATTTCGTATACAACCTACAATCATCGAAATATATTAATCAAGAATAATATACTTATGAGAGATAACGTTACACTAACGTATTAATTTTTATATTAATTCATAGTATTAAATGTTATTATTCGGTGTATTGTACAGATCTGTTAAGCATAACTATAAAACTTGAATTATTCAGTGTAATGCATACATGATTAACGTGTTCCATGACCAAACTCGGTTTATTAAATTCCACGTATATAGTAATATTTTCACTAATGAATAAAGAAATCACTAAGCTGTTGAGTAATCAAGTATTGCGACATTTGAAGCGAGATAAGTGTGGAGATTATACAAAACATTTACGAGTATCAAAAGCTTTTATACATAAAATACACACAGGCATGCAAAAAAATTTTACTACTGGAGAGAGAGTTATTGGAATGATAAAAAAAAAGAAATAGTAACGGTGTTTCGTTAAATGTTGTTAACAGAACAAAATTTTATGTTGTACGTGTTAGTGGTAAAAAGGAGTATAAAAACGACAAATAAAAATAAAGCTGCGTGTATTGGAGGTATGTACCTCATCTTCAGGAAACTCGACGACGGGTTGGGGCGAGGGTGTGCGTGGAGAGGGTGGTGCAATCAGCACGGGACGAGGCTCTGTTACGAGAGGCCTCAAAATTGCCCCGTGAGGACCTCCCTTTTCCTCGTTGTGCAGGAAGTCAAATTCCCTTAATGCACTCTGTAACTACATTACTATCTGCTTAGCTCTAAAAGCTACTTTAGATTGCAATATACTTTAATTATAGTGAGCGAAAATCGGCTCTAATATACAGTACGCAGATAAATTAATCTAATCATCCAAAGGAGTTTGACGCAACTTCTTTTAAACGAATACAGCACGATGCGCATTATAATCTATGGTTGCTGCGTTGGTGCTACGCGTGTGGAAGATGCTTAGGCGTAAAAAAAACAAGGATTTAAAAAACATAAAATTAACGTAGAAATTAAATAAAATAATTGCATGCTTTTAAGCATTTAATAAGTCGTTGCACTGTACGAATTGAATTTTCAAGATATCTATACAAATCTATAGTACCTTCGAAGCATTTGCGCAGTTGAAAATAAATAATATGTGCTATCATGCCTTAACGAAATATATAATATATACAAACGTTAGCAAATATATCAACTTAATATGGGAATAATGCACTGTATGCACATATTCTACATGGTTTCTCTTTACCCATAACCAGTGTACCAAAACCCTAAACCTCTCAAGTAAATAGAAATGCTAGAAAAATGTCGAAATACGTACTTGCCGAAATATAAATAATTACTGTTTCCACGAGGTATAAAACATTGCCCGAAAGAATTGTTTCCTAATACATCTCGGAAAATGTAAATGTCTCGCCAATAAAAACTATAGGGCAACGCAGTCTAAATATTAGATAACTTACCTCTTGGTCTAATTTCGGCGGCGGCGGTGGTGCAGGCATCGAGGGTTTCTTTGTAACCGTAGGTGGAGGAGGCGGAGGGTGTTCTGGAGGTCGTGGCAGTGTCGGACTATTACTCGAAGTTGATAATCCTAAGGGCCTAGCTCCGCCTAAGCCACCCTTCTCAGGATCAGGCAATTCTCCAGGGGTTTCTGGTTTGTCTTCTAACGACGTGTCGAAAACTAGTTGCAGAGGTTGCGGTCCTAAACATATGAATTTGTAAAGCTATCAATCACCATCCTTAACGCGGTGAGCAATGTGCATTTACCTGACGGCGGACTTTCGGAGTTTCTTGTATTATGTAACGAAGGAGCTGATCGCTTCAGAAGCCTGCCCCATGTTGCAACGTTAATGTTCATTTGATTAGCTCGCGGGAAGTTTTTCACTTGTTGTTTGAAGATCTTACGTTGCCGTTGCAACTTAGGTTTCCTCGAAATCATAGGGTTCAAGAATTTAATTTCAGCGAAGAGAAGACCTTGCGGCTCTAATTGCAGAGCCATCCCGTGTCTCACATCGTCGATGAACTCTTCTAAACGTAAAAACTTTATAGCACAAAGTGACCTCCAATCTTTCCAATAAATGCCTATTTCAAGTTCTCTCGATTTATCTAGTTCGATGGAAAACCTATAGGAACAATGTACGTGTATATGTGACATATTTGTAGCTTTTTCTATATATAAAATTTAGAGTATTTCTACTTTGATACTGTTAAAAAAACTTGCATACACGTAATAAAAAAAATATACCTTTGATCCCAAGCCTGCTGAGAACATGGACGCCAACTCGTTTGCCCAACTGTTTGGTTATCCAATTTAATAACCGCCATAATATCATCTGTAACAAGAACAATGGATATTATATCAAAATTCCTGTATACAATTTCCTAATATTTACAGAAAGATACATACTACTCGTTTCATCTTTAACACTGTACGATTTGCTCGAACTACGTCCCGTGACACCTTTAACGAAACTACGTAGATCCGGACTAGCAGGATGCTCTCTTCTTGTACGTCCGGGCACTTCCTCCGCTAAGTCTTGACATCCCATTAATCTTACCTGCAATTACGAATTGCGTACACTGATCCATTACTGTTCCAAAGAATTTTATATAAGATATTTCCATCCCAATTGCGTTTGTCATGTTTTTTACCTCTAATTGTCCAGTGACAGCAGCACATCTTGAAACCGAAGCAGGCACCGTAGCTTTGCCCTCCAGAGGACCGCGAAATGGTTGCAAAGACGTGTACGTTACAGGGACTGGGCTGGCTGATTGTACGCTAGCTAATTCTCTCTTCAATTGCGCAGCGGTCCCGCTGTCAGGTGGTAATTCCTGCCTTCTAAGTTCAAGGGATAATCTCAGCAGGTCCAATTTTCTACTTGATTCTGCGAGACTTGCTTGGGCCTAAAGTGATTTAAAAGAAAATATAAAAAAAATATAGTCTAAGGACGATTGTTTGTGTAGATGAAAACAGGGTTACTTTATGTGTAATGAAGTGTCATAACTAATATAATTAATATTTATTAACAGCATTAAGAGCATAAATAATTGTATCTATCGATTGCTTTACATAAATGCTCGATACTTAGCAGAATGTTTTCGCAGATCACAACAATTGTCAATTATGAATAAAAAAAAGAATTACGAGTATGGAATACAGTATGTTTTCATCAATAAATAACTTAAACACACGCATTATACATAAGAAAACACAACCTTATAATATTATACATTCGATACGATTTCACGAAGAAATAGGGAAAGTATAACTATAATATTTGAGTAACGCATTAAGATAATATCAAGTCTCGAGAACTGTCATTTTTATTTTGGGATGGGACGAGCTATCTTATTTCTATTCAGTAAACGAAAGCCTGTATAGCGTTCGAATTCGCTTATGGAACTAGAACGATCCCGCAAGCTTTCTTTTTCGAAATGGCTTCGACAGTGCTCACAGGAACACGAGGGATTCTTAGAGGGTCCTATATGATGACCTGGCTTTCGAAACGCGTTCACCACCTTGCCGAATATCGAAGCCTTTAGGATATGATCGGTTCTTTCACCCTGAGGAGTCATAAAGGGTGAAGTGACTCGCGAGGGTACTTTCGACGGAAGAGGGGAAGGGCTCTTGGAACCGAAAAACCCGGTTTGCTCGCGAGAAGCATATGGTTGCGGAATAGTGTCGCTATGCGTTGTGGAATCAGAATGATTCTGTGAATTCTTTTGCTTTAAGAGCTCTTGCTCTGCCATACTTGTGATCGTTTCCGGATACTCGGTGGTGGTTTTACTTGTTCGTCGAACACTCTCAGTTTTCTTAACCATTCGTTGAGTCTCATCACTAGATATGAAACTCCACCCGACTGTACTACTTCCGTCGGTATCGTCGCCGCTGTCGGCTGACGACCATCCCACTGCTTCGGACTTCTCTTCGGTCTTCTGCTTCATCTTCTGTTCTCGGAACATACGTTTGCGTTCAATTTCCGCAGAACGCCATTGCCTTTCCCCGCTCTTGGCCTTTGACATCTCTTCCAGTTTTCGTACCCTCTCTCGATCGGTACTACTAGCATACTCGAAGCTGTCACAGGGAGTCAAAGCGAGTTTGCTGTTTATCAAAGATTCTATGTCCGATAGGGTATCCTTGGACGAGGTCGCAATAGTAGAGTCGTAATCGAACGGAATACCCGTGTTAGATGATGCGGCAGACCAAGGCGCCGAATCAAGATCTCGAAGCGCGGTGTACGAGCTGTACTGCGAAGGATAAAGCGAACTGAACACGTCATCGCTGTCGTATCCCTTCGAGCTAGCTATGGAAGGCATCCTCATCGGCGCGTTCTTGAAGCTGTCGCATCGCCGTTCCGTAGCCCGTTTCAAGAACGCTTTGTCATCTTGAAATCCCCTAGGAAGTACATCGCCCAACACTTGCGTATGCGTGACCCTCAGGTCCGGGTTCTCGAACACCGTCATAGGAGTGTCGCATTCGTTCTCGCTCGATGTGTCGGAGTTTTCATCGTCGTCGGACCCGGTGCAATACACGTCGATGTGCACGGTTCGCGATTTGCGCTTCGCGCTGTCATCTTTCCCCGAAGAATCAGATTTTTCCGTGTCCTGTGTCAAAGGAGCGGCACTCGCGATCTCAGAAGTTGTCGATGGCGTTCGATTATCTTGCTAAAAGCAGACACGTACGAATCAAGTTTAAGTGCCTCTCGTACCTGGAAGAAATAACTCACCTTCTTCTTCTTCAGCTCGTACGAGGGTTGGAGACCGGTGCCCGTTTTTTTTCTCACTTTGCTCTTGCTGACGACCGTCGACGTGGATTCTCGGGACTCTATGTCCGTCGTTTGTGAAGACGCATCTTTGCTGATGGTGGTCGATTTGGATGTGACTTTGTCCTCGGTACGGCTGGAGAAATGCGTACTCGACGCACTGCCCTCCTCTTCGCAAACTTCCGGCACTGTGCTGAACTGGTGACGCGAAAAAACGTGTTGATGCGACGAGTGATGACGCCAAGAATTGTCGTACGTATGTTTAACGTTCTCGCTGCTCGCTATTCTACTGGAAGTTTCTTTCTTTGAACTGTCCGTAGTATCCACAGCAGATAAAACTATACTGCATGTGCTTCTGCATCGGCGATTGTATTGTTGAGATGGACGACGGGATGGTAAACTTGAGTATGAGAACTGCTCGCTGTTGTAACCCGAATCGGAAATGTTCATGCCTCGTCCTCTAGACGACACAGATTCATCGTTCGCAGATGATCCCGACGACCTTGGTATCGTGTAAGAACCTGATGTCGTTCTAGGAGGCGGTGTCGACGTGAACAGTATATTTCCACGTTGAAAACCGAACGAGCTGGAGGACGAAGACGGACCGGAAGTGGTGACTACCGGAACCGTTGGCGACGGTGATGATTGGGTGGTGTTCCATCGGTATATCATGCGAACACCGCTCGAATCCGTGACAGTCGAGGACACACCTACCGGTACTTGACCGGATTCCGTGGTCGTCGGTGTACCGTGGCGAATCGTGACTTCTGCACGCACCAGCCACGGCGGCGGTGGTTGCGTGTTATCCGAATTATTACTGCTGCTTCCTGGCCGCCCGTACATACCGTCGCCTTTTTCTTTAATCTTCTCCACGCCGTTATCCACCGCAGTACATCGTCGCCGCGAGGGTTCAATCGGTTCCTCCTCTGCAAGGACGCATCAGTGCAGCGACCGCTTATCTCCTCCGTTGCGAAGAAAATCCGACGTTCTTTTAATGGCGTCGTTCCGTGGCACATCGATTCGAACGATCGCTCGTTTTCGCCAGAAATGGAACACTACGTGGCTGCCCGTTCGTAGCCGAATTCTAGCAAATCGTTTAACGGTCTGTTTCACGAAGCATCCGTTGCGCAATTGTTATAAAAATTGATTAAACGGTCTCGAAACGAGTGAGAGTATTTTCAGATAGTGTTTCACAAATCCGTACATATATTACATAGTTCTTCGTGGAAGAACGGCGATTCTGTGATACTGCGTCTCCGTGGTCTATTTTCAGAACCGGTATTACTGTATTCAAGCAATTTCGGAGTCTCTTGTATCGTCTCGATATTACGTATCAAAATTGTAGAGCAGCACTTACACCGAAACCGTTCTTATGTTCTTCGCTCTTCATAGGATACAGGCATTCATTTCTATTCTCACAAGTGTTTCAACATGTTTAACATGGCATTATTATAGCACTATCACATTTATATATATATAGTTCAATTTACGATCTTTGCCGTTCAAAATGCGTAGATAGAGTTGAAATATCGAATTAGTTTTCCATGAAATGACAAATCGTACGTAGAGTTCAGCTAGATATAATTAGCACAATAAAATTGGAGCAGCGTACAGTCGGTCCAAGTATACCTGGAAACAGTTGATACTTTTACGTGAATCTCAGCGTTCACTCCTTCGATCCTCTTCTACCGCTTCGCAAATCAATTAGAAAATAATACTATCCTCGTTTGTGAGTCTAAATAAATGCACGTTTCCTTCGTCCTTAAATTTACGACTATTCGGAAAGTGAACTCGGTTAAAATAACTTGTACGTCAACTCGTAGTCAAGACCTCGTCTTCGCAGTAATCTTCAACGTGCAGCACGTCTCGCTCTATTTCTGTTAGTCAGCTTCCATCTCGGAACTTCACGGAAGTGCTCGGTGATTCTAAAAAACCGCCGAGAAGACGATCGTCGTACGTGACAGCTAGGAACCTCTTTGTTTGAGCTTCTTGAATTTCGTTGAGACTCGTTGCATCCACAGGTGCGAATCTCGGGTAAGCGGCGACGATATCGCGTAACAGACACGTCAGTCTTCTTGGAGTGTGTGGCGAATTCGGCGCGGGGCGACTTCAACTCGAATCAGTCTTCGGATTCAGGTCATACGTTGATTCCCTGGCTTATATGACGGCGTGGATTATCCACGGGTACGGGTATCACCAGCAGAAACGTCCATGTAGAGTACATGGGCGCAGCAGGTCGAGCGGTCGTTTCGCGGCTGATTAGCGCACATGTCGTTGGTTTATCGCGTTGCTTACGACTGCTGGTTATGCCAGCTCCCTCGATAGGTGGTAACTAAGCGCGACCCGAAAAGGCGTCATAGAAGACGCTCGGGGTAGCGGGGATTAAGCAGCGCTATTTCGAGACCGGTGCGTATACGCCACCGCCGAAACGTTCGAAGCTCGACGTAGCTGTTCTACGTCTGACGCGTTTTCGTGCAGCCGGATACAAGGAAAATCGTATCCCTAGTTTCGATTTACGTGGGTTCGCAACGTGGCTTGCTTACGTCATATCGAAAACATGTTTTTCGAATCGAGTCGCGACCACTATGGTCCTCGACTTTGAACGCGATTTTATAGATAAAAATAGCAACGCTAATGAATCTCTTCGTGTAGAAGACGCATTCGAGGAGCGTACAATGAGATGAAGGCTTTCGAACGACGACATGTCTGTCGTGTACAGGTACAGGCATCAATGGTTCTCTTTTAACAGCCTATCTCGAACGGTACAACAGCACAAAAGCTTTTCATTATCGAACGTCAGTTCCTATGTGGCACATATGGTATCGCCACTCACAGTGAACAGGAAATGATCATACGTACCTCCGTTAACGCCTTCTTATCGGCGACTTTGGCACTTTGTAGAAGACGTATCACGTTCTTAGCCCCTTCCACGACTGCAGCTTCGATTCGTAAACGGTGCCGTAGCTCCTCCACTCTTTCTTCTAACGCCAGCTCCAAACTGGGCTCGTACCTATCTGCAATTAGAATTGTCGACTTTATGCCCACAGCTGTGATTGTACCTACCGCGATAATCATTATAAATTCTTACACGAGTCGTACGAGCATTCGCGTTCGCGCGAACACCGCTCCTTCGTGGGGAACAGGAATCGAAAGCACATGTGAGTGAATTACGAACCCCGAACGGGTGACTTACTAAAACGCGACTGTGATCGCTTGATACCGAAAGCAAGATTGTTTTTGCGTCACGCTAGACCGCCGGTGTCCTCCGAGCAGCGTCCATATATACCCGGTTCTTTCTACTGGCGCACGAATCGAACGATAGAACGATAACGATTGATTTTAAAAATTAAATGAACTACGCAACTACCGTGTACACGCAATATACGTATGTAGACTTCTTCATCACCTCGATAAGTAAAACAACATTTTTATTAACGGGTCGTGTATAAATACGTTTAATCTGATATGACGTTAAACGTGACCGTCACGAAATTCTTATTTACAGGGCGCCCGCGACAACGATCATCTTATATTGAATACAGGCCAAGAAATAAAAATGATGCAAAAACTTAACGCAGTCGCATAGTCCACGCTATTCATTAACAGGCTGGCAATTGATAAGTCAAACAAAGATTGCTAAAGAATCGAATGAGATCCTGTTTTCTCTGACCGTTAGTTTCATCAAGCTGCTAGTACACTTCGTACAAACCGTTGACTATACATACTTCAACAGTTATCATAATCCAACCGTGGAACGCTCACAGCTATACTTCTATATGAGTCACGATGTACCCTCGCATAAATACATGGTACGACGGACGTTATAGAATTTTCCTGTTGCTAGATGAATTTGTACCTTTATTGCTAGTCGCCTCTCCATTTGGCGGTGGCGCATCTCCGCGCGCGTGCTGTTGCTGACGAGCTTGTCGCACCTTCATTATTCGCATGCGTAGGAACTCGATTTTGGCGCGAGAATCGTCGAGCATCTGTTGAGCCTCCTGCAGTAATTTCTTATCCCTGCCACTCGTCAAACTCTGTATCATGTTCTCCGCTCCCTGCTTCACCTGAAATGTGAACGAAGATACGATTAATCAACTGCTTCACAGACACTTCAATATTGTAAAGTGTTTACATGTGTGCATGATAGATGAGTTTGAAACTGCTACGCAGTGTTCGTAATTCTGGTTCACCTTGTTAAAGAAAAATTTCGGCATTGTTGCTGCCTCTCTTCGCAAGGTCTGATAAGCGACTACGCGTATCCTAAACATTGTAGGTATTCACCAGCTCGATAGCTAAACCTATTATACCCTGGAACGGATCACGTATTATGACGTGGAGATCCCTTCTTTTCACGTATATATCTCCGGCATTGAAAATTCGTTGACATTGTGGACTGGCGGAAGGCCAGATTCAATGACGCGCGTTTTTTCTTTAAACTCAGCTACGAACCGATCGAATAAGAATTACGGGGCAACTCGTAGAATTGTAGAGAAAGTGTACAGTCTGATAAATCCAGGAAAAAACGGAAAGCTATCTTTAGTGGCGAAAAAATGCCAACAATTCACAGATGACTCACGCAATAAGACAGACTGGAACTGGTACGGTTTCCCTTTTAATCACCCGCGAATCGCAAACTGATTACGGTACCATTACTGCACTAGTCATTAGACACGATTTGAAATGTTAGGATACACTTATCATTTATCTTATGAAGTAATGTACGATGAGTAATATAAAGAATTGCCAATATCATTCCTTTTCTAAACTATTTCCTTTATATTTCTTAGAATAATTCCATTGATATCGTTTCAATACAACGGTATTATAAAAAAAAATTGGTGTATCAATTAAAACTGATATACAATCAGTTTCTATTATAAATTAATAATTGCTTCGGTAATTGGGATAAACAGAAAGACAAATCTTAATGCAATGATTCCTTTTTTTTAAAAACGATGTACCTTGAGTTCAATATTGAGCTGCTTCTCCAAGGACAAAAGACGAAGATCCGTGAATAGACCCTCCTGACTCGGCGACGACGGCCCCATTGGTGACAGAGGCGTGTCTGAAACGAAAATAGGCGTTCAAGATAAGTCTCGATCCACTCTAAGATACTTCGATCACAGAAAAGTTTACAGTTCCCCTCTAAGAAGAGAAACCCATGAAACATACTCTCTCATCGTCTCACTGATTTACGATATAACAACAAGAATTTAAGGAACATATTATTCTGTAGCAGCATCCGTATTTATAAAATGTCTTAATTAAAAATATAATAAATCAACGAGAGCGATATTTCCTTAGAACATAAAGTCAGCGTGGGCGTCTGTTCGCGCCGGTACATCTTGTAAACATCTTAGCGAGAGCCTCGAGTGTCCAACAGTGAAATCGCAAGGTACTCGAATCCCACTTCCTGTAACCCACTGGAGATATCTCCGCGGAGCTCTAAGGACTCCCACGTATTTAATGCGCTACTAAGTATCACAATGCGACCGTAGAAAAAGAAGTTGCTTCTCTTTGTCTCACTGACACCCATAATCACGGACACCGTCGCGATTCGCCCATTTCCCATCGCCCGTTTTCACTAAACTAAACAGACGGTAACGCAAACCCGGCGTTGTACGGGTTATAAAAATGAGAACCAACAACATTTCAGACTTTAATAATAGCTCTTGATTTTAAGAATCTGATTTTAATAAAACCGTAGGGCGAATGAAAATATTTACTCGGGTCCGAGCTTCTGCTCGAGAGTTCGCGTGAAATCTTTCAAGGTAAATCTCGGCTCGTAAAATCGTTCAATTTAGCGTTCATTGTTTCTAGTGCAATTAAGCGGATGTAAATGAAGGTCGCGCGCGACACGGAATCGCGGACTACCTGATTAGCAGAAGCATAACATAATTGGCGTAGCGGTCAGGTATAAATTATACGGATTTGTCGTTAACGCCGCTGCACGAGTCCGCGGTTGTATTTTGCATAATATCGTTCTATATTTAATCGCGTTTGACTTCCGCGAGCGCACGTTGCACAAGACTCCCGATCTCAAAAGCGGATCGCGTTCAGTTGGGAGCGGAAACGTTATGAAAAACGGGTGTAAGGATTATTAAGCGGCGTTTCCGGGCGGATCTGAACCCGAAACAATTATAGTAATCAATTCCACTTACGTAATTACACCGGCGGCGTTTGCGAAACGTGCGCGACTCCCGTTTTAATACGCCGGGCACGCCTCGATACTTCATTTTTATTTCTCTCCGAAACGCAGACCCGGAGGCGACGCATACATGCGCACGGTGTGACGCACACGGGTTTCTTACGTACCAAATGGATTTAATCCGCGACTAAAGGCAGTTGAAATAATTTGAAAACACGTGAAACGCAAAAGGCTTGGGCGCCGACGAAACTTCTTTGGAGTTCGCCAGGGCGTATGCACACGTGGACCACGGGAGCGGGACGGTGAATCATCGATATTGAACGGCTGAATTTAACCAGTCGCACGGAAGACAACGGTAACGAGGCGCAGGAACGTGGCCATCGCCGACAAAGAGGCACGTAAACGCGCGCACGACGCCTATGCAAGCGCACTTGCATCGGCGGTGCGCGCGTAGCCTGACATGTCCGTATAAGGAGAGCTACGGAGCAGGACAGAGAGCAAGAGATGAAAATAAGGAGGATATTGGCCATGGGAATGCATACGAGAATAGCGTCGTTGAAAATCGGTCCGATACCATCGAGACGACTTGTGTGCACAGCTTTCGTTTCACGGGAAACGGAGAAAAGGGAGCAACGGAAAGAAAGAGCGTCTGTGAAAGGGCGATGTCGGTAGAAAATATACGAGGACGATATCATTCAATTCGATGATTTCGATTCCTGATACAAATATCCGACAAACGAAAGATCGCTGAAAAGAACGTCTGATAGTAAAAATATCTCAAAGAATGACAAATAACGTAGAACGTTATATCGAACGCGAGAAGAGTAGATCACTGATCCGTAATAAAAGGTGAAACAGTGGGAGAGAGGTCTCATGGGACAATGCCGCGTCGAGGAGTCCGCGAAACCATGTCATTAGCGCAACGGAACACGTGCCCCATTATACTCTGTTTCTGTGAACAGCGAATGGGCAACAAAGACTCGCCTTGTTTCCAGGCTACAAAATTCTGCGTTATACCATCCTTTTCCGAAGCTTCACCGGTGCGAGACAATGAATAGAATTATTAACGCATGATCTTTTGGAAAAGAGACACGCTCTTCGCCCCCTTCATTTCCACCGGCCGGTTTCTATCTTTCTTTCATCACTTTGACGACTCCGGGGTGCAACGCACGCAACTACTCCGGGACACGGCCGTGGAGAGACGCGCGCGCGTATTACCGTATCTCCTCGAGTGTGCATAATCTGCTCGCATGCACTCAAAGGATGCATAGGGGATAACAGCATCGCGTGAAACTGCTAATCAACGACCCGATCGCCGTGCTACTAAGCCGTGCCGTTTCGAAAGGACCATATTTTCTTCCTCGTGATCTACCGTAAACCTGCGTACATTCCTATGCACTTACTATACGTGGAACGCCGCGCGTGGCGCAAGATTGTCCGAGGGTGGGAATCGTTCAAAAGTGCATTAAAGATAACGAGCAAAAACGCGCAGGCAGTTAGAGAGAAATCATAGATACGGTACGGGTCGCCGTAAAAAGAAACCGCTGCTCGTGGAGACGGAATTACAATTTTTAATCGGACGACGCTCCAACGATCAGCTGTAACATGGATTTCCTCTCGACGTGGTGCGTGCACTCGAGTGACCCTCCGCGCGTCACCCATTCATGATCCCGCTCGCATTGTGCGCGTTGCGTGCAATTCACATAGACGAGCTCGCAAACCATATCCCAGACTTCCTATGGTATAATACATATTAATATTACATGTAAGGAATAATTGGGTTCCGCTACATCGTAAAAGGGGACGGAGTGTGCTCCGCAACATCCTCATTAACGGATTGATTAAAATAATTAACGTGCCTGGAAGAATAGCTGATCGCGAATTCGCCGGCTGGTGTAAAAGAAGCACGAGAATCGGGACGCTTATGCATTGACGACGTAACAATCACTCCCGTCGAGAAAATTGCGATGGAAAATACGTTATTAAATGGTCGAAGCGTTACTCAACCATAGCGCGTCGACTCGACTACTAGAAAAAGTATTTAGCTCTTAACGACGCATCTAATTTTTATTTTTATCAATGGTAAATTGAAAATACAAGAGACCTGTGCGCTCAGACTTGTCAGACCACCAACTATGAAGTTATTAACATAGAAACTACCGTCCGCGACGATCGAGAAAATTGGCCGACCGGTTGTCTAAAAAATAGCTGTGCATTTAAAAGGCGCACCACGAGACCACGATTACGAATGTATTAAAAATCTCGGTATAGACAGGCCGTCAATTAGCTGATATAAATCGCGACGCTAATTCGCGACGGCGAGTGATTTCCTTAGCGAGTTTACGACCGAAGGGAAATGTACACATCGAGTATCGTTCTTGTAAATTGCTGCACGCATACCGAGGCGTACCGTGGAAAGCGTCGTAAAGTGGTTTCACCCAAAGGCTGTTTCTGATAAGTCCGACGGACAGTATCGGTCAAATCTACGGGTGGTTTTCTATCGTTCACCGTCCGTGGGCGTCGCACGCGGCTTGTAATCGTACAGAAGCGACTCGACATTGTATGTACAATCGACGTCCACCAGTCAATGCGTCGATACACGTCAACGAGTTACGAGACTTTTGTAATTCGTGACTCACGAAGCCTTATCGATCTCAGACTTTTATTCGTATCGCGCGATGACGACACTGGCATAGCGAGAATAAGCGAACCCTTAACTCACTCACTTTTGAAGTAAACAGTTGGGTAAGTTGCGTTGAGTAAAGTCTATCGAATAATTTCATATTTGTATTGGGTTATCCGAAAAGTTCGTGTCGCTTTTTGGTAATCGGCATTAGGACAGATCTGAGCCTATCAGGATGATTAAAAACAAATGATGTGTATATAAAAAATCTTGAAATCAGCTTTCCTAGTGAATTTTTCAATTAAAACACAGCATCAAAAACCTACGATCTGCCTTTGGGCCGCTACCGCGCCCCTCTCGGAGAAGTAAAAAAAAATGTTTTTTCTCAGAATATCGAAAACTTTTAATTATAAATAGTGCACTTCTCTTCTAATTTCGATATTTAATGAGTTACATATGATTATTTGGCATTTTATTGATGTTGGCAAAATCCGACCATCCCAGCGTCGAAACGGTGAACTTTTGGCAAAAAATTTCATTTTTCCTTAATTACTCCTAAACCGTTGAATCTACGGGAAAATTGTATAAGACCTTTCTTGTAGAGGACGACGAGAT